TACGACAATCTTTATTAAAATATCTGAAAACTAGGTTGGTTTATTGCCTACCATGAATGTTTTTCACTTAAAAGTGAGAGATTTGAAGTTGTTTCTTTTGATTAATTCTTTCAAATTGATAATTAGTGCACGAAGAAGTGTGCGACCCTTACTCTTCATCTACTTTAATCTGTCAGCATAGATGACTCTATCGATTGACGATAAAAGAAAATTGATTTTTAACAGTTCTACCTGGTGTTATGATCGTCGGGACCATGGGTTTCGATGATGATGGTACAGTTGGTGCCAGTGGAATTTTCTTGGAAGATGTCTAGGAAAAATGTATGGTTATGCGTATCGATAAATTTGAAATAGATGTAAATTCTCACCGTTGATACAAATTCGATCAGAGGATATGGCGGTTGAATTTCTTTGAGTTGTATGAGATAAAGATCTTTACCTTGAGTGAGACATCCCATGACTTTAAATTGCCTTGCGGCTGGAAGAAGAATTTCATCTTCAGCTTGAAAACAAGAATATTTTCGAATATCTTTGCCACTATCGCATTCGATTGTAAAGAGAGTTCTAGGACCTGTTGTACCCAAAAACTGTTCATTCTGGAGTACAGTTAACTTGGATGTACACGAACTGAATCCCCACCAAACGAATGTTTTTCCCTCTGGATATTCCTTTCTCATATCCCGTTTAATCCCACGATAAACATTAGACATCATCGATGGGAGTTGAGCCAATGCCGTCAAAATCAATCGTAGAAAAAGGAACCACGGCATCACCTTTTTACGATTTTCGTTACGTAGTGTCTGGTTCAAGACATAATACAGGCACTCCTCTTGTGGTTCCCATTCCATTGAATAGAGTGTGATTGAAGCTGCTTGATCTATCGGTAGTTCTCCTGCTGAAAGTCCTGTACATTTCATTTTTGCAATGTAAGCCATTCGTTTTACGTCAGGTACATACGATACTACAGGTTCTACAGCCTCTTCAAGTGTAACCAGAGGCTTTTTTTCGTAGCCTTGAATGGGCATCAGCATTCGGCAAGGTTCTGCGGCAATATCCGAAAAACGCTGTGTGTGCGTGTGTTCTTTATCAATATCGACGTATTTTGAAGCCATTTTTGAATATGTAATGACAATCTTGAACTTACTGATTGAAATTCTTGAGTGAAAACTAAAAGAAAACAAAACATTTTAGCATATGGTGTCTGAGTATGTATACTCCCAAATTAGGAAAGTATCTCACAAGAAAACACATGAATATAATAACTTCTCAGAGATGTAATATACTGTAAAAGATGTGGGCTTGGTGTTGCTGGGTGTTGGTGTGAGTGGGCGTGGGCGTGGGCGTGAGTGTAGGATGTGGGTGTGGGTGTAGATGTGGATGTAGATTCTCTCTTCATCTGCTGGCACCCACATCCGATAGACGAGTGACTCGCAACTTTTTGACTTTTCTTTCACACAGGACATTGTGTCATCTAACGCTATTTGTCCTGACCTAAAGACATAATTTGCTAAGCTGAGTGTTCTCACCGGCCATCTTACGAACCTTCATTTGACCTAAATATTGTTGTCATTCTCATGATTTTCCGTATTGCTTGAAACTTTGCGCTGGCATCATGCTATATCAGTGTGCAATCACGTCCTCTACGCGTTAACTGTCACCTATGTTTGTGAGACTAGGATTGTTTTGCCTTGACTCTTAACACTTGACATACGGCTTGAAACTTCCTGATCTGACTCTAGCAGACTATTCTACTATTCGAAGCATTTGGAATTCATTTCTATCAATTGTTTCGTGGCCTTCAATTTCCACCACCGATCTGAGAAATGGCGGTAGAATTGAAATTGTGCATATTAACTTCCATACACTATCATAGAGCGTAAAGCTCTTTGACCTAAGTGTTACTTATTGTTGATTGGCACAAAGCTGTTTCATCTTTAAAATTGACGCACTACTGCATGATTCAAAATAAGTGGTCTTTCATGTAGTAGTCCATTGTGACTGGCGAAGATTGTCTTGTTAATTCTGTTACATTAATGAGTGCAGTAAAACATCTTTCCTTCAGTGTTGTGGATTTTGTCGCGATCGAAAGCCTTTTTCACTGTTTTCTTTATCCATACCACAAATTTAACATCGTAACCATATTCTTTTTATACAGTCCCATTAAATTCGTAGTTTTTATCGATTTCTGATTTCTTATCTCTTTAATCACTGACTTGATTAATATACTAGGAAAAAAGAAGCACACAAATTGTGTTCGATATACAAAGAATCATGAAATTAAATACGTCGAACGATCAAATGAATATGAGATACTTGCGAACTGGAGAATGAACGAAATAGTTACCTAGATTTCATGGACAAATTGATCAACTGCAGTAAATTCGATCATGAGTACAGATATACGGAACCGAAATTAGGGCGTAGCCAGGGTTTTTCTGTATGTTTGATCTGAGCTTCAGAGCATGGGACCAAGATGAACCTTATGAAGCATGATGCTGGGCCATAATAATGAGCCTTTATGAAGAAATTTTTACGATTGAAGCTTGCGGAAAAAAACATTTTCTTTTGGGCACTCCTAAAAATTTTTTTGCTTTTGGTAGTATTTCGTTTTTTAGAGTTTCTTCGTAATCTACATCGAATTTCATTCAGAAATTTTAAATTTCATCTAAAAAAATGCATTCATGCGGAAGTTATAATGTTTTGAGTTTTTGTAAAATGTCGCAAAAATGTTTGGTAATATTCAAAGCGTTATAACTTCCAAACGGACGCATGTTTTTAGATAAAATTTTAAATCTGTCTACGAAATTCGATGTAGATTATGAAGAAACTCATAAAAACAGAATACTACCAAAAGCAAGAAAATTTTTAGAGGGTACTGGAAAAGAAATTATCTTTTCGCAAACTTCAATCGCAAGAATTTCTTCATAAAGGCTCATTATTATGGTTCAATATCATGCTCCATAAGATTCAGCTGGGTCCCATGCTCTGAAGCTCAGATCCAGCATATAGAAAACCCCTCGCTACGTCATTGACCGACATCAAAGCCAGAACCCGAAATGATATGATACTCTTAACTCCGTCAATTTTTGAATAAAGTTCTTTGTGCATCATAAATTATTGTACTATTGTCATACTAATATCTTGTGATAAAAATAGAAAGACATCATCATTCAAGATGTGCCAGATCAATATCAATCCTAGTCTCACTGTAAGATACTGAGACCTGTACCAAGATTAGGACTGCAAGAAAATCAATTGCTCATATTAGAACTAAAGTTAAAAGTCAAATATTCAAAAGTTTTACACAAATTATCTTATAAATCATTTCAACCAGAATATAGCTCAAGAGAGACAAGCCGCAATAGTGCTAGTCATCAAATAAATGAATGAAAATACAAGTATTGAAGAAGTAATTTAGACGAGACATGATTCGATTTTAGACTAGTTTTCTCTAAGCCAGTACCAAAAAACTTTTATCGACACTGAGACCAACACAAAATTGACCAAGACGGTAGTACAAAAGCTTGTTTTCACGCATCTATATTTACGAACCTCAATCTTCAATCTAACTCAATCATTTTCAATATTCGCAGCGTCACGCAAATAGCGTAAATGTACAATATTCAAAATAATTTGTTTGCTTCTCAAATCTTTCCAAAAATTTACTCACTACGGTCAAATAAAAAAATACGAAATGTTGTGAATAAGTTTAACCCTTTACCCCCCAATGGGTCATATATGACCCATTTGTAGACATGATCACAGAAAATAAAGAAAGTATGAGACTGAAAAACTCCAAAGACCTTATTTGTAGAGAATTTCACAATCTACCAATTGGTAAAAAAAATATTTTGTTTCATTGCTCTGCCTTCGAGATATATGACTTACAAAATCGATAATTTTGAAAAAAATGCAAAAATTCGAAATTTTATAAACAAAATGTTCTCTATTTGCAATCGATAGAGGTCTTTTGGAATTTCTGTGCGATATTAATCGACGAAGAAGTCCACTGCTGAATTAGATGCGTTTCGAAAGCTTCATGATAACTCCGCGAATTATGCATACTAAGGAACACAATTGACAA